ATTTATTTTTTATTACAGAGAATAGGGAGATGGTTACATGAGTCAGTTACAAGAAAGTCTGAAATAAAGCAACGAGAGTGAAGAGGAGGAGTTGCATATGCCGGAAGTAAAACCCAAGATATGATATGATGATTGGATGCAGTTGTGAGGATGATAAGTCTAGGCTTACCTCTGGGTTCCCGGTTTGGACAGTTGGGTGGATGGTGGTGTCATTCACCGAAATCAGGAATGAAACAGCAAGATTGGGTTCTGGGAGGAAGATGTAGAGTTGAGCCTTGAACAACACAGGTTTGCACTGTGTGGGTCCACTTACATGTGAATTTCTTTCTTTTTTTTTTTTTTAATGTTTTATTTATTTCTGAGAGAGAGACAGCATGAGAAGGGGAGGGCCAGAGAGAGAAGGAGACACAGAATCTGAAACAGCCTCTGAGCTAGCTGTCAGCACAGAGCCCAACGTGGGGCCCAAACCCACAAACCGTGAGATCATGACCTGAGCCGAAGTCGGACGCTTAACCGACTGAGCCACTCAGGCGCCCCACATGTGAATTTCTTTTGATAAATATATCAGAAATTTTTTTTGTTGGATATTTGCAACAATTTGAAAAAACTCATGAACTGCATAGCTGAAATATTGAAAATATTAAGAAAGAGGTATGTCACAAGTGCATAAAATATATGTAAATACTAGTCTATTTTATTACTGCATAAAGTATACAGAAATCCATTAAAAAAAGAGTTAAAATTTATCAAAACTTACACACACACTTACAGACTGTACGTGGCGCCACCAAGAGAAATGTAAACAGGCATAAAAATGAGATCTTAAACCGTAAGTGCATAGAACTAACTGCAGTACATATGGTTCTGTAATAATTTTGTACCAACCTCTTGTTGCCATTGCATAGAGTCCCAGTATCTGCATCAAACACTGTGTGATGCTAATACCACCCCCCTGAGCATTTGTGGTTCTTGCTACTAGTGATTAAGTTTTGGAGGAGTCAAAAATGATATGTGGATTTTCAGGGGCTCCTGGGTGGCTCAGTCAGTTGAGCGTCCAACTCTTGATTTTGGCTCAGTTCCTGATCTTGCAGTTCATGGGATCGAGCCCACATCAGGCTGACTACACCAAGCTGCTTGGGAGCCTCTCTCTCCCTGCTCCTCCTCAGCCCACGTGCGTGTGTTGTCTTTCTCTCAAAATAAACTTAAAAAAAGTTATATGTGCATTTCTGATTGTGTGTGCATTGGTGCCCGGACTCCTGTACGGTTCCAGAGTTTACTATAGAGTCCAGTTTCAAACATGTTGTGTTTGAGGTTTGTGTTCGTTATGTGGGTGTGTGCTTTGCATTTGTAGGATCCCTCTCTGATATCTGACCCACTCTCCCCAACTCTTGGTTCTGTAATTTGGGTGGGGCTGCACCCCAGTTCTAGGGTCACATACACAGTCCAGGCTTCCATTGACCAGTGCACTACAGACCTTCAGACCCACAGATCCACCGAGGTGTGGAGACAGCCCAGGGATTTAGAAAGACACCATCCCCTTGGCTGTGCTGAAGCTAAAGTTGTCCCTTGGCTGTTCAGTTATACGAGTCAACAAATTCCTGCTTTGCTTACGATTTAAACAGAGTTTCCTGGCACCTGCAAAAAGAATCCTACCTGTGGGACAGCCAGGTAGAGATGTTGGGTTCAAGTGATGACTTGAAAATTCTAGAGATAGATTTGGGATGGGGATATATAAATGTAAGTCATGAGCATATAGGTCGAAGCCATGAGTTTGGAGAAGGTTACCCAGGAAAAACACACAGTGTAGAGACCAGTTAGTTTGAGTGCCAAGAAAGGGGAAGCACAAGCATGATCCTACATGAAAGAGACCTCTCATCCCTACATGGAGTTTTGTGAGGTTTCCTGGAGTAAAGAACCATGTAGGCTGAGAAGCAAGGGGTAAGGGGAACCATACCTGGGAATGGGTGTGGGGAGTGTGGGACAGAGCTCCAGGCAGAGATCTCAGGCCAGGAAGTGAGAGCCGCCCAGCGTGTTGAGGGACAGAAGGGTCCCGATGGCTGGAATCTAGAAGGTGCCCCTGGAAGGGCAAAGCTGGGGAGGTCCAATGCGCAGTAAGCGAAGTAGGGGTGCCTTGTGCTCCTCACTTGCCTAAGAGCCCTGGGGAGTCTGCTGAAAGGCTTTAAGCTGGAGGGGAACTGCATCAGAGGCTTCAGGAAGGAGGATCTGGAGAGGGGCAGGGCCACTGAGGAAGGTGCTACAATATCCAGACAGAGGCCATGGTGCCTGGGTCAGGGGAAGGCTGGAGCGGGTTTGAGGGAGATCTCGGTGCATTAGATGAACTTGAGGGTATGGGTGGATGTGAGGAGTGACTTCCATGTTTCTGGGCAGGGTTGCTAGGTGGACGGTGTCGTTTCCTGAGGGGGGGAGGCAGTGGAGGAGGGGCCTGCTGGGGGCTTGGGAGCATGGTGAGTTCAGTTTGGGGTACAATGAACCAGAGTGCAAGTTTCTTGAAGAATCTTCTCTGCCTTAATCACTCTGGGAATGAATACACAGATACACAGAACAGACTTACACACTGTAAGTAAATCTTTGTTCAATACTTGAGTACTTGATACCTGTTTTTTTACAAAAAAATTTTAATGGTTGTTTATTTTTGAGAGAGAGGGAGAGAGAGCGCCTGGGGGAGGGATGGAGAGAGAGGGAGACACAGAATCCAAAGCAGGCTCCAGGCCCTGAGCTGCCAGCACACGACCTGATGCGGGGCTTGAACCCACAAACCATGAGATCATGACCTGAGCCGAAGCTGGACGCTTAACTGACAGAGCCACCCAGGCACCCCTAAAAATTTTTTTTAAATGCTTTTATTTCTGAGAGAGAGAGAGTGAGAACGCGAGCAGGGGAGGGTCAGAAAAAGGGAGACACAGAATCTGAAACAGGCTCCAGGCTCTGAGCTAGCTGTCAGCACAGAGCCTGATGCAGGGCTCGAACCCACGAACCATATCATGAACTGAGCTGAAGTCAGACGCTTAACTGACTGAGCAACCCAGGCACCCCAAGTATTATTTTAATGTTCTTTTAAAAAATGTTTTATTTTTTTGAGAGAGACAGCGTGAGCAGGTGAGGGGCAGAGAGAGAGGGAGACACAGAATCAGAAGCAGGCTCGAGGCTCCGAGCTAGCTGTCAGCACAGAGCCCGACGCGGGGCTCGAACCCACGAACTGTGAGATCATGGCCTGAGCCAGAGTCGGGTGCTCAACTGACTGAGCCACCCAGCACCCCAATACCTGTATTATTTTACGTGGAGAAGTCTAGGAGGCAGCACTGGAGCTTAGGAGCTAGAAGCGGGTTGAGGAGAGAGATTCGCGGTCATTGGCCTCTACTCGTGAATGAAGACAGGGGTAAGCGGGCTGTGTGGCCGAGTGTGAGGCTGGGGAGGGGGCTCTGCACACGGTCTGGAGGGGCAACGGCTCTGCAGGACCGTGGCTGTCTGACGTGGTTCCTGTCCTTGGTCTTGTCCCTGTCAGCTCTGCTCCTCCTCCCCTCAGACTCTCTGTGCCCTAGTGAAGCCTTCTTCCTCTGGTTTCCTCCTACCCCCGAGCCCTCCTGTATCTCAAGCTACGTCTTCTCTCTCCAGACTTCAGTGCAGATGCCAACGGGACCTAGTGATGGCAGTTTAAATACAACAACCCTCACTGAGCTCATCACCCCGTCCCCCGAACCAACATCTTCTCCTGATGGGTCGGTCTCCAGCACTCACCTTCCAAACAGGAGGCACTTCAGAGAGTTGTTTTCAGTCTTGAATTAGAAACTTGGTACAGATTGGGTCTGTCTACTTTCACAACTTGAGGGAGCCAAGCAAGTGCAGATTTCTCAGCTCCCTCAGCCTGACGTCCTAAAACCAGGGGCAGTGACTTCTTGGTAGAACAGCAGATGAGCCAGTAAACAGTAGGGTGCCTGACGTCTTTCCAGCTCTTCACTGGCTCCGTGTTCTTTGGGATAATAACACTTTTTAATGAATTAAGGGACTTATCCAAGAAGTAGTTACAAATTCTACTTGAAAAGTTTAGGGACTTGCCAGCCTGAGGCACTGGTCTTCATTCTGGAACGTCAGAGCCTGACAAACCGTCCCAGAAATGGTCTGATTCATTCTATTAATATGAAGGAAGAAACTGCGATGCAGAGAGATTTTTACTAAGAAATCAAAACGCACGCAGATGGATAAGGAATCTGAGGGTCTTGGGGAACCATCACCTTCACCTGTGCTGCTTAGGGATGCAAACCACGCTTCTCTCTCTCTCTCGTTTTTAACCTGGACCAGCCTTCCAGTCCCTCTTTCCTTGCTGCCTTTTCAGAGGCCTTAGGAAGTTAAGACTAATGTGGACATTGGCCCAAGTGCGATGCAAATAAGGAAACCCACACCCAAACACAAAGACCTTGACCACATGGGCCTCCTTTCCATCCCTCCAGCATCCAGCTCCTTCTCACCTCAGGACCTTTGCCCTTACTGTTCCCTCTTGTGAAAGTTCCTCCTCCGTCTTTCCAAATGTTTGCTCTGTCTCATCCTTCAGATGTCAGCACACATGAGATCTCAGAAGAATGCCCTCCCCAGCCCCTGTAACCTGTAACACACCACCTTGTAGTCTTCCCCCATGGGATTTATCTAGTAGTCTTATTTGCTTATGCACTCATTGCCGCTCCCTGCCTCTGCCCCCTTCCCTGAAAGTCAGCTCAGTGAATGCAGGACCTTGACTGTTTTGCTGACTGTATCCTCCGAGCCTGTGACAGTGCCTGTAGGAGGGGTGACTAGATACTTAATGAGTAACAAGCGACATCTCTCCATCAGGCTGAGTGATCTGGAATAATTCTGTTGGTACCGTGAGTCATAACTACAAATACACCCAGTGTATTTTCACTATTTACTGTGCAGCTCTGGGAACTCAGGCTAGTCCCTTCCCTCCCATGCTTCTTCCTCGCTGGAACAAAGGTACTGACTCCCTAGCATAGGGTATAAAAAACACCATTGCTTTATTTACCACCAACAGGACTGGCCTGAACGGGGTAGTAGATATTCTGGGCTCAAAGTACATGTAGGTTGTGATGATTGGGAGGCTGTTTTGAGGGAAAGGGGGTGGTCTGGAGGCCAGACCCAAGGGCTCCCCCTGCCCCCAGATTTACTTCTGGTAATGGGTAGACTTTAAAAAGGACTCATGGCAAGCTATGGCCAAGCCGCCAATAAGATTAAGAAATTCTTGGAAATCTAGCTGCCCATCAGAGTTGACATCCAGTTTCTTCATCATGCGGTCAAGGACACCAGGGTCCTTCTGGTTCTGTAAAGAGAACAATAACCAATAATAATGATACTTTTAATGGTATCTTACATTGTGCTTTCTAAGATACTTAACAATTATGTTGCCACATTTTATTCTCACAAGAGTGTGAGGTACAGGCTACGGGTTAGTAACATTCCCACTTCCCAGACCCAGTGACAGACCCAAACAGGTGAAGTGACTTGCCTCAGGGGAAGACCTGTGCCTTGAACCCAAGTTTTCTGGCTCCCAACCCAAAATTCCTCTGTGATAGTCAGGGGGTGTTCAATTTTATAAAAGCAGTGGCACACTTTTTCAAGTGTCGCCTGCAACTCCAGTGTACAAACTGCACAGAAGTGAAGCGATTTGAGGTGGAAAGAGGATGCAGGCCTCGATCTGCCTCATCTTCTGCTCCTCTGATCTCCACTCCCCCCCCCGCCCAATGCACTTATAGCCGCTAGTTACACCGGCTGTTTCAATTAGGAACTTAGAAAGTCGTCTTTAAGTGGCACCCGTGCCTGGCAGCTACCACCTCGGATTGTGCAGATAGATACAGAACGTTATTTCCAACATCACAGAAAGTTCTATGGGACAGGGCTTCCCCGGAAGCTTTGGGATGGAGGAATAACTTTCCTATTTGAAAACTATCCTATTACACCATTTACCATTTCATGTGCACCTTCCCTAAATGAAAGAAACACATCACCCTTCCCTGGGTCATGTAGTTGGAGAACTTTGATCTTTAAGAAGAAAAGGTCCTTTAATGGTTACTCAGAGCTGACGTCAGCTGCTGGGCCCTCACTCCCAGCCATTCGGCCTGGGTCTTGTTTGGGGTTGTGTGGGGGAGGGGTTGGGAGCAGTACCTTTGTGAAGGCCGCCAGCTCTGTATTCATGAAGGACAGGAACTCTGTCTTGGAAAGTTTGCAGCTGTTACCATCCTTTCCAGCGTATCTCTGGAAAACAGCGATCAGAGACTCGATGCACCGCTCCGTCTCAGTAGGGCTGGACATTTTTGCCTTAAGAGAACAAAAGTCAGGGTTCAGACGAGGGCTGGATGCTGGAGAACACTCCAGAGAATCTCATACCTTCATTTTGGGGCAAAGCCGTTTCCTAAAAGACTAAGTCGATTTTTTAGGGGGCAGAAGAGCCCAAGACAAACACTGAAGGTCACATCCCATGAGCTTCCCTCCCAGGTCTGGTCACATGTTTGTCCCTGGTGAAATACAGTGAGGGTCCACATGGAGCACATGGGTGTGTCTAAAAGCAGCAGACTGTCTAGATGAGAGTGAGCGTGGCAGGGTTTACTGATGTTTCTAGAATCTTTGGGTAAACATATGCATAACTATACATCCACAAATCCTTATGTGCCCTGAGCGCTGTCTGGAGATTAAATGATTTCCTGTTTTCTTTTTTAATATTTTTAAAAATTTTTAAAAATGTTTATTTATTTTGGAGAGACAGAGGCAGAGTGCAAGCAGGGGAGGGGAAGAAAGAGAGGGAGACACAGAATCCGAAGCTGACTCCAGGCTCTGAGCAGTCAGAGCAGTCAGCACAGAGCCAGATGTGGGCTCAAATCCATGTACTGTGAGATCATGACCTGAGCCAGAGTTGGACACTCAACCAACTGAGCCACCCAGGCGCGCCGTATTTTTAAAAATTTATTTTTCAGAGAGACAGAGCACATGCAGGGGAGGGGCAGAGAGAGAGGGAGACACAGAATCCAAAGCAGGCTCCAGGCTCTGAGCTGTCAGCACAGAGCCTAACGTGGGGCTTGAACATGTGAACCGCGAGTTCATAATCTGGGCGAAAGTAAGGATGCTAAACTGACTGAACCACCCAGGCGCCCCGATAATTTCCTATTTTCTAAGCTACTGTGACAAATGAAATGGCAGTTCTTTTTAAAGCAATACTGAATTCCTGGGACTCCTGCATGTTCTAGAAGAAAACTAAAGGCACAGTCATTATTGTGTGTGGGGTGGGAGATCTGGGAGTTCGTGGATGTTCAAAAGCAGCTTTCTTATTGAAGGTTAGAAACATTAATTTTACACGGGAGGGAACGAGAGGCCGGAGAAGGTCAATGGGCGCAGCAGAGCCCCTCCCAGAATCTCGGCCTCCAGGTCCCGTTCTGCATTCCTTGGTCTGTTCCTTCTACTGGCAGATGCCACTAGCTGTTACTGAAACCACCAGAGGAACTGGTCCTTTAAACCCCAAAGGCTGATCTCAGGAAGGGAGCATTCGGGTTGCCACTCACTCTGCTCCCCTGGCATCTACAGAGCTGACCCTCAGGCGGCTGCGCCGTGAGGAGCTGGAGGGTCAAGCGCCCCGCTGGGCTCTGCTTTTTCTTACAAGAGAATTCTTCCGGGAATTCCGGGAATAGAAAAAAAATTTTCTATTTTGCGATGCCTCCGGGTCATTTCCGCCGGCACCTAGAGCCCCCTGGTGGTTCAGACGTCAACTGCAGGCTTTCTGGAAAAGTTGCCAGCCACACCCTTCCTCTGAGGCTTTACTAAACTTCAGGTACTAACGATGATCCTCGTTTGGACCTTGAGGTTTACAATTTAGCTTTGACCCCTTAATTCGGGCTTTGCACGGACTTCCTGGAGCACAGAGCTGGGGCCCATAATTAACGCGTTAACGGACTGATCTGAGCCTGCGGGGCACAGTTTGGGCTCCTTACCTCCCTCCCTCCCCGTTCCCCAGACTTTTCGTGGGCAGTGTTTCCAGATGCTTTACCAGCTGAGCCCGCTGGTCCCCAGTGCATGTGGGAGCATCTGTAACGCCCCCTTCCAGATGTGGGTTCTAAAGAACTCTTCTGGACATGGATTCTTTCCCAACAGTCATGTTGTTGGAATGTTTTCTTTTTTCTCAGAGATAACTTTTTTTAAGGAAAGAAAAATGTCCAGGGTTTGTGAGTGAAATAGAACACCACAGCCTAGAAACAGATGTTTTTGCACAACATCCTTCCTTATCATGACTAAAATCTCACTGTCTTCCTAATGTGTCAGATGACAGGAAGAAGGTCGGCTGGAAGGGCAGGCCATATAGGGCAGAAGATTCCAGGCTTTGTGACCTTCTTCTAAGGCTATAGATGCTCCTCTGCCCCTTTATCTTACGGAATTCGGATTGCTTTGCTTTGCTAGCTTCAAAGTGGCTTTCTGCTTTACTTTTTCCTCCTTAACGTTGGGACTATAATTTAGACCATTTTCTTCCTTCTTGAAAACTGTTGCTATCAGCCACACATGGAAAAAATTCAAACCTCTGTATTTCTCCTCAGAGGTAAGTTTCCAGAGCAAAAGAAACACAATTACCAAATTACTGGCATGGAATTGCAACATTTGTAGAGCTGGAAGGGAGCTGGGCGATGGTTCCAGAGAGGGGAGGCCCAGAGACAGGAAAGCTTTGCTCAGAGTGGAGCAGGGGCTGAAAGAGAGGAGAACAAGATGTCCAGCTGACAGGCCAGAGCTCCCCACAGCTGTCTGCACCCTGACAGGAAGAAGAAAGTGCTGTGAGGTAAAAGGATACAGTGAAAGAATTTTAAAAATGCATTCTTAATTGAGGAAAGGGAGAAGAAAAAGGAATGTGAAAAAGAAGTAGCACTTGAAAGATTCCAGCATTGCGCTGTCATTCTTAAGCAGCACACTCGCCTCAACATCCTCCCCCCAGCCCCACCCGGGCGGGATCCTGGTGGCATCCACCCTCCACCAGGGCAATGGTTCCCAGTCTTCACCACCTACTGGTGCTGGGTCTGCTTTTTCAAGGCTCCTGGGGACACCCGTTAGTCTCTTTTTGCAAGGAAAGGAAGGAGGGAATGGGTGGGCAGGGATAAAGGTCAGCAAATGTGTTTCGTAAACGGTCAGATGATAAATATTTTAGGCCACTGTGGTCCATGATGTCTCTGCCACTCTTTTGTAGCGGGACAGCAGCTACACAGACAACTCATAAGTAAACGGGCGTGGCCGTGGGCCAATAAAATTTTATTTGCGGACAATTAGGTTTGATTTTCCTGTCATTTCAGGTGTCACCAAGTAATATTCTTCCTTTGATTTTCTTCCAGCCACTTAAAAACGTCAAATCCACTTGTAGCTTGGGGACGGGACACAAACCCCATTGGGCCCGCGGGCAGAGGTTTTCGGACTCCCTTCACGAAAGAGGCCAAGGAGGAGGTAGATTCTGGAGGTGGCTTAATAGAAACGTGAGAGAGAGAATTCACAGTAGGTTGTCAGGAGCTGAGAAGAGACAACAGATGTCGGCGTGAGCGCCCGAAAAGATGGGGGGGGGGGGAGGAAAGGAAAGGGGAAGGCAGAGGGGGCTCGGCGGGGCCGGAGCTCCTCCCACGATCCGGGCTGCGCCCCGCCGGCTGGGAGCGGCTGCAGTTTCGGGCTTTGGCGTCTTGGCCGGTTGCCAGCAGCTTCCTGAACCCGACTTTCCCCGGGGCTCCGACGACTCCGTTCTGAGAAGTGCCCTTTCTGCTCCACAGAAACAACCCGTGCTGCCGGGGAGGGCCCCCCCCCCGCCAACTTCTTTAACGTGTCTCCCAGCTTCCCCGGGCCCCGGGAACGACCCCGCGCCTCGCCCCGGTCCCCGCGGAGGGGGGTCGGGTACCGGGCGCAGCCCTCCTGCCCCGCCCCCCACCTCATCTCCGCCGCGGAGCCAGAGAACCCTCCGGTGGCCGCTCCTCGGCCGCGATCACAGGGCGGAGCCCAGGGCTGCCTCCTTGCGGCCTCTACCCCGGCTCCCTCCCGCCACCGACTTTCGCGGCTCGGTGCCGCGCCACGGCCACACAGGAATGAAGGATCAGCGTGGCGGGAAGCACGCCGGGGATTTTTCCCGTCTCTGCGGAGGCAGACAAGGAAAGGGCCAGGCTTACCATGTCTGCGCGGGGCGGTGGCGGCGGCGCTGTGGGCTCCTGGCGGACGCTGTGAGCTCCGCGCGGCGGGCGCGGCCTCCGGCTCCCGCCCCTCCGGACCCGCCCCGCCCCGCGCCCCCCGCCCCCCTCCGCGCGGCCCGCCTCCGCCCCCGCCCCCGGGCGCAGATCCGGACTTGTCCATCCCGCCCCGCTCCGCCCCGCGCCCCCCTCCGGGCCAGCGCGTCTACCCCCAACCCCACACTCCCGGGTGCAGATCCGGACTTGTCCGCCCCGCCCGCGTGGCCCAGCGCGCCGCTCACCCCTGTGTCTCCCAGCCCCTGGAAGATTCTGGACTTTTCTGAATTCAAACTTCTGCATGGCGGTCTTGGGCGTGGTGTGCATAATACGCCTGGCTCTTTTCCGGGACTGAGCTCATTCAGGTTAGAGAGGCAGAAAGATCCGTTTAGAAACGCGCAGCACGGAGTGTGGGCCGGAATTGTAGAGTGGAAGTTCCCTAGAAGCCAGGGCTAATCTATCCCTTCACACTAAAGATGGCTAATCGACGGTGACGATGTGTGCCAAGTGGAGTGCCAGTGTCTCAAACTTCTCCCTAACCGAAGACAGCTAGGCCCACAAAACCCAAACCACTGCAATTATAAACGGAGCGGTGTGAGTAGGGATTTATCTGTGTGCACTTGGCAGTGGCGCTGGGAGTCGTGTTGAGAAGCAGAAGCTCTGGGTTCTACTCGTGGGCCTGTTAACTTTATTGGCAATACTTTTGGCAAACCTCCTCCTCAGAGTTTCATCTCCTTATCTGTTAAGAGTAGTGACGTTGCCTTTCCTGTTTCGTAAGAGTGTTATAACTGTCCAGTGAAATGATAGGTTTGAGACGGCGTCAAAAATTGTGGAGTGGGTGTAGGAGAAAGATAAGGGGCCACAGGGCATGGTGTAAATTACATCCTGAAATCCGCTGGTCACCTAGGAGCAAATCTGCCTCTCCCTCAACTACTGCAAACTCACATTTTCTTTTTTCTTTTTAAAAAAATGTTAAAAGTTTTTATTTATATATATAGAGAGAGAATGAGCAGAGGAGGGGCAGAGGGAGATGGAGAGAGAGAATCCCAAGCAGGTTCTGTATAGTCAGCACGGAGCCCAGTGCAGCTCGAACCAACTAACGGTGAGATCATGACCTTAACCACACAGATGCCCCATCAGACACACATTTCTTGAATCCACTTGAAAGCCCCACCTGAGCCCCAGACTCAATAATTCAAGAAGTAATCTGTTTCTCTCCCATCTACCCCTCTCTGCTAGTGGTACTGCTATTCTTCCATTCTTCTCCGACTTAGAACTCTGGATCCAGGTTTTGACTCTAATCCCTTTCTTACCCCCAAATTTTATCAAGTAGCAACCCCTATCCGTTTTATTTAATTAATTTATTTTTTTAATGTTTTATTTATTTCTGAGAGGGAGAGAGACAGCATGAACAGAGGAGGGGCAGAGAGAGAGGGAGATACAGAATCTGAAGCAGCCTCCAGGCTCTGAGCTACCTGTCAGCAAGAAGCCTGACACAGGGCTCGAACCCATGAACTGTGAGATCATGACCTGAGCCGAAGTTGGTCGCTCAACCCACTGAGCCACATAGGCACCCCCGTTTTATTTTTATACTCTCTTGGATCTGGCCCCATATTTTCTATTCCTACCTCCAGGGCTCTAGTTTAGGTTTTCAATCCTTCTCTTTCCTCCGGTTTCTTAACTGGTCTCTTGCTTCCACGCGCCCCCCCACCCCCACCCCCCAGCCCCAATCTATTCTTTTGACTGTTAAAAACATATTTTCCCGACATACAGCTCTGATCAACTGAGGGCAAACCACAGGGGGACCTGAGTGGCTCAGTGGGTTAACAGTCTGACTTCAGCCCAGGTCATGATCCCGTGCTTCGTGGGTTCAAGCCCCGAGGCAGGCTCTGTGCTGACAGCTCAGAGCCTGGAGCTTACTTTGGATTCTGTGTCTCCCTCTCTGCCCCTCCCCTGCTTGCACTCTGTCTCTCTGTCTCCCCAAAATAAATAAATATTTAAAAATTTTTTGAAAAAAAAAAAAGCAAACCACAACAAAATAATGAAATAAAATGGCTCCCTATTGCTTTTTATCTAAAACATGAACTTCTTAGCCTCTATCTGGATTGGAAAAACTTCTTTTACCAAGTGAATGAATGAATTCTTCAGTTTATTCATTTAACAAATATTTCTGGAAACCTACTATGTACCAAGCCCAGTATAGGTGCAAGAGATACAAATATAAATATGATATAGTGCCTGCCTTTGAGGTGGTCTGTGGATAGACTTTAAACCCTTGGTGGTTTGGGAGGTGTTCCATGGATGGCTACTGAGGTCCACAAATACCCTAAATTTATATATGAACTTTTCTGCATAAGACATTTTCTTTCTGAGGAACAATCTATAGCTTTCATTTGATTCTTAGAAAAATCTAGGATTAAAAAAATATTAAAGAATCATTAGTCTAAGTGATTCTATATGTGAATCATAGGACCTTTAATACCATGGGAAAACACCTCACTTATAGCCTCTGCTGAAAGGTCAGCCCCACCGGTGGCTTTTTGCATGATTTGACCCTGTGCTCACTGTCACAGCTGATTGGATTGAGGTTAGCTCTGGACTCAAGAAATGCCAATCTGCAGAATGGACAGTAGTGGATGTTTCATGACATGACATGGAAAGATGAGCTGAGGCTACTCGGTTTCTTGCCCTCAGGAAACTGAAATTGGAAACACATAGAGAATTAGACGTTTAGAAGAGCTGAAGCTGAACATCTGTGTGGAGAGACGCATGAGATCATGGCAAGTCAAAATTACAAAGAGGTGGACACTATGAATAATTAGAAGCTATGAAGTTCAGAAGGAGTGTACAGAAGAGAGGGGAAAATAAAATGAATTGCTAACCAGAAATAAAAGAAGTGGCTACTTGGATATTAGCTGAGTTGCATAAACGGTGAAGCAAGCAGAACCAGAGCCTGTAGTCCAACTTTGCTAGTGCTCTTATCCTTCCTGAACCTGGTTGTTTCGTTTTCCCGATTTTCTATAAGATATTCGTTCTTTCAGTCACTCTTCTGCCCCATGAGGTAGCTTGAGTGAAACCAAAGAAAAGAGCTGAACCAAATAAGTATGCATCGTTCGGAACCAGGCTGGGCATCAGCTCCTTCCGGTCAGGGCTGCCAGTGCTGGGTAGCTGCCCAGGGTCATGCTGAGATGGGTTCATTACCAGCTTTTCCTCAAAGGAGAGTTCAGGATAGATGGCAGGCAGAGGGAGATTTGCCAAAGGAGGTAAATAATACATCAAACTAAAGGGCTAAAGTAGGCGAGGAGCTGAGGACAAGTGCGGGTTGGTAAACTGATAGCAAGAGGCTAAAATGAGGTACAGAAGAGCAAAAGGGCTATTCAGGAAATAAACCTGGGGATTTTTTTGTGTGTGACTTGAGTTCTGCGCAGGATTGGGTAGATTCTTAAATGGACACAATAGAATATGACAGACGTAATAATCGGGTGTGGCCAAGGTACAGGGACAATGTTGGGGAGGAAATGAGTGGTTAATGCTGGGGGAGCAGGGAAAGCATCATGGAGAAAGTGCTGCCTGAGCCGCATGCTCAAGGATGTGTGAGGATCCACCAGGCAGATGGCCCAGGGGTGAGGCTGAGTGAAGACAGACTGGGCTAGAGCGTGGGGTTCAAACCCGTTATCTCTACGAGCTCCAGCGAGACATTTATCTGCTCTGTGCCCTAGTTTCCTCATTTCCAAGTGGAGAGAATAGTAGTACTTACTTCATGCGGTTGTCTTGAAGATTAAGACGTAGTTCATGTATAATGCTTAGAACTCAGAGCACTGCCTTCAGAGGAAGCCTCACGTGATGGCCTGGGCGGAAGTAAGGAGGGATGAAGCCCATGTGTGTTGTCGTGACTTGCAGGTGGTTCTGCAGTCCTGCACTTTGGGTGTGGGATGATGGTCAATGTGAGGCAGAGGCTGCAAGCTATGAGCCTGGAGAGATAAGTGTCAGAACATTAAGAGCTCTGCTGGAAAGTTTGGATTGTATCCTAAGAGCTGTCTATCAAGAACCACTGAGGAGTCTTAAGCAGGAGAGTGACATGGTGCACGTCACCTTTTGGTGTACTAGAAAATGTACTCGAGAGGAAAGAGACTGGAGGCTTGGAACATAATTGAATATTGTTGCAATGACCAAGGGGAGACGGCCATGAAATCGGGGAGAAGGGATTGCTCAGTGCTGAGAAGACAGAAGCAATTGACTTCATGCCCTGTGTGGATGTGGAGGGTTTGGAAGAAGGATACAATCACTTTAGGAGAGAATAGGATTGAGAACAGCCACATAGCTCTTCAAATCTCTGTCACCTCAGGACTTTTGCAGCTCTGTCTGATGTGTCTCCAGTTGTTCTTTCTCACTCTCCTCACCTTCGTCTGCTCCGGCTGCCATAGCAAACACCACACATTGCGTGGAGGAAAGAACAGAAATCTATATTCTCACAGTTCCAGAGGCTGCAAGTCCGAGATGAAAAGTACTAGCCAATTTAGTTCTCAGTGAGTTCTCATCCTGGCTTGCGGACGGCCACTTTCTTGCTGTGTCATTGTGTGGTGGTGAGAGAGGGAGAGATCTTGCTCTTCTTCTTATAAGGCCACAGTCCCACTGAATTAGGGCTTCACTCTTATGACCTTTCATCACTTAATTATTTAATTGTATTACTTCCTGAAGACAGTATCTCCAGATAGAGTCACATTAGGATTTAGGGCTTCAACGTTTGAATTTTGTAGGGGAGGGAGGAACCATAGTTAAGTCCATAGCATTGTCCTTTTTTTTTTTTTTTTTTTAAAGTAGGCTCCACACTCAGCATGGAGCCCAATGTGGGGCTTGAACTTACAAAGCATGAACTCATGACCTGAGCCGAAGTTGGATGCTTAACTGACTGATCCATCCAGGCACCCCTTTAGATCATCCTTCTTTAAAAAAATTTTTTTAAAAACATTTATTTAGTTTTGAGAGACAAAGCAGGAGTAGGGGAGGGGTACAAAGAGGGAGATACTGCCGGAGTCCCACT